CTTTTTTGGGTTCAAGGCTTGCTTAGTATGGTAGCCGGGCTACCAAGATAAACACTTCAGGCTTAACCCCAAAGCTTATACTTTCCATAGGATTACAAGCCACCGCGCTCCTGCAGCTTCCTCCTCCTTCCAGCTCAGATGTTTAGTTGTGCAGGGTCTTAGCTAGACTCCACCTAAAGCCCACACCCCTGAAAGCTGAAAGCTCCGCTTCACTCTCAGGCTCCAGCTCAAGTCAGCCTTGACAGTTCGTCCGACACCCCAACCATTTGCCTTTTTAAGGCTGCATGAAGCAAGTCTAGCTTTAGGAAGGGTCGATTCCGACACAACTTGCTCTATTGTCTTTGGTATACAGCGTGGTGCAGGCATTGTGATGGGCATCTGCATGTCGCTTCAAGCGAAGGAGCCGAGCCCCCCCCCCCCCCCCCCCCCCCCTGACGGCAATATCGAAGCTTCTTCCCCCGGCGGCATCGAGACTGGGAGAGACGCTCAGCCGGAGAGCTCGTTTCCACCAGGGGCGACTGCTTCTGGTCCGCTTCAGGAGACCCCGGCTCTGCAGCTAGGTTTTTAGAGTGGTATGCGTCTTTTCTCATGTTTCTTGTCTTTCATGCGATGCGGTGCTCGATACTGTAGCGCAGCACTACCGTCCCGCAAGCATATGTCACTTGGCTGACTCGAAACCCAAGGAAGAAGGGTAAGACCATCTACAGAGCTGGGCGAGGGGGCTTCAAGCCACAGCCCACGCCAGAGGATATTCGCTCCATGGGCGGAAAAGACGGTAATTGTCAGACTCTGCGGCATCCACTACTTCCGAATGTTCCAAGATCCTCGAATGTCTGTGCCTCGGTAGGTTTTCTGGGACATTTTCTAGATTTCCCTTATTGGGTTTAAGAGGATCATATTCAGGAATATGTTTTCAGAGGAAAGTGAGGGCCATCCGAGGTACTTTTCGACACGTCTCACAAGGATTCCAACGTCAGCGCCGCCGTTCATGGAGAACGGTTGGCTCTCGCCTTGCTGGGAAGATGAGGGTTTAGGGTTTAGGGTTTAGGGTTTAGGGTTTAGGGTTATGCCAGGATGAGAGGGGGCCATGGGGACCTCTTCGCCAACTTGGATGCGGCGCACCAGCGTGCAAAGCGATGTCCCCTGCGCTCCGCTGAGGTGCGCGGTCAAGGTTTCACGGAAGATCAGCGCGACAGTTGGCTTGGAAATCTTTGGCTGGCAGCAGAAGAAGCCGGCAACACCACGGAGCTGTGCGACAAGCTGGCAATCCACTTGGCCAGCGTCGTCGATCTCTACGCGCCTTTCGTTGCCTCGACAGAAGCCTGAGGGCGAAGCTTGTGACAACCACCGCTGAAAGCGGTTTGCTACTTGTTTTTTCTCTAGGATGGCCAGTAGTACCCTCATTCCATTTTTTGGGGGTTTAGGTTCTCTTATAAACCCCTTTAAGCAAAAAAGGGCACCCTTTTTAATCCCAGGTTACTGGGCAACCCAGTTCTGGCACTGTTAGGGTTCAGAACGGGGCTCTACTCTACACCCCGCAGGCCTCGAGCAGCTTTGTTTTAAGACATGGGGGTTTACGATATTAGGGGTACCCTTATTGGGGTGCTTATTAAAAAACGGGAATCCTACTATCTGTGGTTTTATATTAAGGTCCCTTATTCTCGTAAACCCCCACATGGCTGCGCATCTTCTCGGATTGATATGGCAGAGCTCCGGAATCAACAAAAAGCAATGCATCTTTCAGCTCTTGCTTTGGCTAGTCCTCTTGAGGTTTTTTGCGCCTGTTCGCGGTTTTTTGTTGCTACTGTCATGTATTGGTGTGAGTCTTTTGTGGGTAGATAGCCTTGCGACTTGGACTGGAAGAGTCTTGAGCTGAGAAACTTGGCTTCTGTATATGGAGGATCCAAGCAACCACACTGGGCACTCTGAGGGGGCTTGAGGTTTAGAATTCAGTGCGATAGGCTTACTTCAGGCTTAGGAAACTCAGCAAGTAGGGTATAAGTAGGGATGCGGGTGCCCTAAGTTGAGGACGATCCTAGATACGCTCAGCCCCATAAGCCTTGAACGCTGAACCTTTTCACCCTCAATCCTAAACTCTAACCCCTAAACCTTAAACCCTATACCCTCAACCCTAAACCCTAAACCTTAAACCTGAAGCCCTAACCCACTCGAGGGTATCCTTCGCTTCCACACAGGTCCAGGCTCACACTTTGGCCCAAAATGCCGAGGACAACGAAAAAGGGGTTTAGGTTTTAGGGTTCATGGTTTAGGGTTTAGGGCTGGGGCGGGAAGGGGGGGGGGGGGGGGGGGGGGGGGGGGGGGGGGGGGGGGGGGGGGGGGGGGGGGGGGGGGTGGGGTTTCAATGTCTTAGGGTTTACAGTATTTCAGGGCTCATAGCGTTCATAGGGCTTTTGTTGCAGTCTAGGGTCTATAGGCAGAGTTCGCCGGCCCCCACTCTGAACATGGTAGCTCACGCCCGGCGCTTCATGGCGGGCTGAGGTTTAACATGTCAACCCTAAACCCTAAGCCCTAAACTGCACTGTCATCAGTGCTGCCTGGTTCTTCCACTATGGTGGCCTTGGGTTGCAAAAGCATGCTAGCGCACCGTAAACGGTAAACTACCCCGAAACCCTATCGCGGAAACAGGGTTTAGGGTTTAGGATTTTAGGGTTTAGGGTTTAGGGTTTAGGGGGCTTGGACTTCCCTAGTCGCTTGGGTTTCCCGCGTGGGCAGGACCTCGAGAAGCGTTTCGGCACACGCCTCAACAGTCCGAGCGTGTGCAGGGTCCTCTTGCCCCTTGCGAAGATGTGTTTGGGCCCCAAGGAAGTATGAAACCCCTAAAACCTAAACCCTAAACCCTGAACCCTGAACCCTGAACCCTAAACCCTAAACCCTAAACCCTGCTCTAAGGGCGCTTTGACTTCAGGGACTTAGAACGTTGAACCCTATAATACTTCCCACCAGGCCGCTCCTCAACTGATTGCCTTCAGGGGAGGGTCTCGGATGTTCGGGGTTTAGGGTTTAGGGTTTAGGGTTTAGGGTAAAGTGGGGGGGGTGGGTTGGGGGGGGGTGGGGGGTGGGGGGGGGGGTGGGGGGGTGGGGTGGGGGGGTGGGGGGGTGGGGGGGTGGGGGGGGGGGGGGGGGGGGGGGCGGTGCTTGAAGGTTCACGTGACCCACTGGCTACAGTCGTTCGAAGTGGGGTTTAGGTTTAGGGATGTCGAAGCCCATGCTTAATTGGCAAGGGCAGACCAGTGAAAGGGTTTAGGGTTTGGGGCTTGGGTTAGGGTTTAGGGTTTAGGGTTTAGGGTTTAGGGTTTAGGGTTTAGTGTGTGTCTGGCTTGCCTGACCCTTGTTCTACATTCGCTTAGATTCGGGCCCCCGAATAATGCAACTTTCTCATAAGACTCCCCACAGAAGGAGCCCTACTTTCGGAGGGCTCCCCAGGCAAGAGCTATCTCGCCCTAAGCCCAGAGCCCTGAACCTCAGCAGACCCTCGAATGTCGCAGGGTTGGGCCTTCAACCCCAAACCCTAAGTTAGCCCTAAACCCTAAACCCTAAACCCGAAACCCTAAACCCTAAACCCTAAACCCTAAACCCTAAACCCTAAACCCTAAACCCTAAACCCCTTGAATGTCGAAGGCATTCCACCCGCAGACTTGACCAACACCTCCGAGGGCGGCTTCGCCTGGAAGGCCGCGGTGGAGTCTTGAACATCCTGGACTGTGGTGAGGATTAGGGTTTAGGGTTTAGGGTTTAGGATTTAGGGTTTAGGGTTTAGGGTTTAGGGCTAGTTGCAGAAGTTTTGGGCCTGCAATTCTGCACTTCATTTGTAGAAGTCGCAAGGTTTGGGTTGCAGGTGGGACTTGGGACGAAGATGCTGACAGCTAGGCTCCGCTCTTCTTTGTTCGATGCGGCTTGAAATCCGCTTCTCTCCCACCTGCATTCGACAACAAACCCTAAACCCTAAACCCTAAACCTCATAAACCCTAAGCTCAGCACGTGGGTATCTAGCTGGCGGGGAACTCTGCAGCCCAACCCAAAACAAAACCGTCCCAAAGATTCGTTTTCAGAGTGAGGGTTTTAAGGTTTAGGGTTCAGTGGTTAGGGTTTGGGTTTAGGTTTTCGGGTTTAGGGTTTAAGGTTTAGGGTTTAGCCCCACCCCTCCCCCGACCCCACCTGCTTTGCAGGTGCGGGGGCGGCTGCCAGCGGCTCAGTTTTGGCGTCATGCACGGCTCCTACACCTCAAGACATCCGACACCCAAGCATTAAACCCTAAACCCGAAGCAGGGCTTCGGGTTTTGGAATTTTAGGAAGCTCAGGCAGCTTAGGGGATTGCAGGGTTTAGGATTTTGGGTTTGGGATTTATGGTTTTTGGGCTCTTAGGGTTTGGGATCTTGGGTTTAGAGTTTTTTGGGCGCGGCCGAAAGCCGAGCTCAGACGCTTTAGCCCAGAGACGCCGCAAACCCTAAGCCCTAAGCTCAAAACCCTAAACCTTGACCTTAGGTTCCCTTATGAGCCCTTTGAACCCAAAAAGGGCTTAGGGTTTAGGGTTTAGGGTTTAGGGTTCAATAAGGGCAGCCTTGTTAAATTCCTAGGCTGCTGTTGGGCCGGGAGAAGGGTCTTGCCAAACCCGCGCTTGCATGTCCGCTCTTTAGCAGCCCCAACAGCCTTTCAGTATTGAGGCCTTGCGAAATGAACCATAAAATTGGGGCCATACGCGCTACAATTACTACTATATTTCCTGTTAAGGTATACTAAACCCTCAAGACCCTAAACCCTAAACCCCAAACCCCAAACCCTAAACCCTAAACCCCAAACCCCAAACCCCAAACCCCAAACCCCAAACCCCAAACCCTAAACCCTAAACCCTAAACCCTAAACCCTAAACCCTAAACCCTAAACCCTAAACCCTAAACCCTAAACCCAAATCGATGGCCCGGGCCTGGCTCGAAGCCGCTGCTGTTTTGTAGGGCCCGGCAGGACCACCGGCGTTCGTCGCCATGAAATGCCAGGGGCCTTGGTCTTTCTTTTGGTTTGGGGTGTAGGGTTTAGGGTTTAGGGTTTAGGGTTTAGGGTTTAGGGTTTAGGGTTTAGGGTTTAGGGTTTAGGGTTTAGGGTTTAGGGTTTAGGGTTTAGGGTTTAGGGCTTCAACCCTAAACCCTAAACCAAAAAATCCGGGGTTTTGCGTTTGAGGGTTGGGGGTCTGAGGTTTCGGAGTCTCCTCCTGATTCTCATCAGCTTGAAGCACCATAATCATAAGCTTACCAATTTCTCTGTCGCGGTTCAGACTACTGGAGGGAGCCCGTCAACCATCCTCAAAGACAGATGCAGGGTTTAGCGTTCGGGGTTTAGGGTTTAGGGATTGGGGTTTAGGGTTTAGGGTTTAGGGTTTAGGGTTTAGGGTTTAGGGTTTAGGGTTTAGGGTTTAGGGTTTAGGGTTTAGGGTTTAGGGGGCGACCTAAACCTTAAGCACAACATGGTCCAAGATTGAGGTCACCTGCCCTCTACTACTAGAATCCCGAAGAGGTGCATCCAAGGGCCTTGGCGCCCCCAGACCCTGTACACCCGTAGACCCTCAACGAAACCTAAACCCTAGACTTGGGATGTTGCCCCTTCATACTAGCAGTCCGTAATACAGATTCTAGTCCCCCCTCCCCTATTGTAATCCCTCTTAAGGACTGTTAGTAAAAGACCCTAAACCCTAAGCCTAAACCCTAAACCCTAAACCCTAAACCCTAAACCCTAAACCCTAGGAATAGCATGATGCTCCTCAATCCACGGTCATCCTCAGGCTTTGCGGCCTTAGCAGTGGTGCTGCCCTGTGCGCTCGCCGGCACGAATGAGGCAGCTTAGTCTGCACGGGGCCTAGGGGTTTAGGGTTTAGGGTTTAGGGTTTAGGGTTTAGGGTTCAGGGTTCAGGGTTTAGGGTTCAGGGTTCAGGGCTTAGGGTTCAGGGTTTAGGGCTCAGGGCGTAGGGCTTCGGGTTTAGGGTTTGGGGCTTAGGGTTTGGGGTTTAGGGTTTGGGGTTCAGGGCTTAGGGCATGTCAGGGGATATCTGCGCTTCTTTTCGTCTTGGCTGGGCAGGTGGAGGACGATTACGTACTGCCTTAGGTTAGGTTTTTTTTTACTTTGCTGCCGCGGTGCTTTATAGCCCAGAGGGTCCTTCTGTAGTACCATCATGGAATTAGGTACCATAACACCATACTAAGTAGCAAGAAGGGTTTTTGGGCACGTAGTTCCTGAATAGTCCTACAGACACCCTCGCGCGAGGACGAGGAGATGAAGAAGGAGGGCTCGGGGGGGGGGGTGTCCGAATTGCCCCAAATTTGCCTTAAAACCAGAGTGCCCTATATCCCACACCAGTCTTGCGCAGGTAGGGAAGAAGTTCCTCGAAGAGAATGCCAAGCGAGAAGGCCCGCTCCAGCCATTGAACCCTCAAACCCTCAAACCCTCAAACCCTCTATAGGATTTATAGGGTTTATAGGGTTTACAGGGATTTTAGGGTTTTTAGGGTTTATAGGGTTTATAGGGTTTTGGGTTTAGGGTTTAGAACCTACAGAACCCAACCCCTGAACTTCAGGCCCTGAACCACACGGAACACCAAGCTTAAAACGCCTTAAGCTCGAGACGCCCATTAAACCCTAAACCCTAAACCCTAAACCCTAAACCCTAAACCCTAAACCCTAAACCCTAAACCCTAAACCCTAAACCCTAAACCCTAAACCCTAAACCCTAAACCCTAAACCCTAAACCCTAAACTAAACTCAGGGCCTAGGCCGCCCCCTACGTTGGAGGGCGGCGCTTAAGCCCTTTGACCTCGATGGCACAAGCCGACCCAGGTCGCTCGCCCGCCTCCCACTGCCTGGGAGTCGGTAGCGCCCGCGATGGGCCCGGTACCGGAACACGTTCTCCTCGGGACCAGTGCTAATCCCTCATAATCAAGTAATTACCCTAAAAAGTCAGGTCGGGGTACCCCCAGGGCCCCAGCCCAGGAGGTCCTGGACCCCCCGCCGCAGACCGGGGGCCTCAGGCCAGGCAAGGTGGGTGCTCAAAAAGTGTTTTTTTGTGCCCTTTCTTCCTCCTGCCCCCTCTGCCCGACCACCCTGACCCTTCCCTGATTTCCGCGCCTAGCCCCCCCGTACCCGTTCCAGTCCTCGCCGAAGGCCTAGGCGGTGGTGACGGAAACACCGGGGAGCCTAATTCGGGACGGGAGGTGGCTCCATCCGTGGAGCCAGAAATTAGTGCCCCCCGGCCCCTGCCTTGCCCCACCCACAGTTGGCTGCTCCCTGATTCAGTGCCTTGCCAGCCCCTCTGAAACCTGCTGCAACCCTGAAACTGCCTACTAAGTTTTTAGAAGTGGGCTGTTGTCTGAGTTTAGGCCTAAACCCTAAAAGGAGTAGGTTTGGGTGGCTTTGCCGCCTTGGACGGCGTGGGGTGGGTGTTAGATGGCCCTCCACAATCGGGCCAATGCTGCTTTTCGCACCTCACGAAGCTTTCGAGCTTGTTCCGAAACCTAACCTTCACAGCATCTACGCCCTATCACAGCAAACACTAAACCCTAAACCCTAAACCCTAAACCCTAAACCCTAAACCCCAAGCCCAAGACCCTGAGCCCCCAGAAGCCCGAGCCTGTACGAGGCGTGGTCACTTTGCCATCCGGGTTGCAGTACAAAGTCCTCCGTGAGGGACATGGCCCCTGGGACCTTGCATATAATATTGAGTTTAGGGGTTAGGGCTAGGGTTTAGGGTTTAGGGTTTAGGGTTTAGGGTTTGGGGTTTGGGGTTTGGGGTTTGGGGTTTAGAGTTTAGGGTTTAGGGTTTAGGTATTAGGGCTTAGTGATTAGGGTTTAGGGTTTAATTAGGGTTTGCGTTTCGGGCTTGGGCTTCAACCCCAGCAGCCTTAAGCGAAACCCTGGATGACCTTAACACACTAAATGATCCTAGATAGCCCGCAAGTAGCCGCCCTAAAGAACCCATAAGAGCCTTGCAGTCCGATAATCCTGAACGCCCGCGACGAAACCCCAAGCCCTGTTGCAATGCAGGACTGGCAGGACTGCGTGTCAACAGGTTGGGTTTTCATGTTTGGGGCGAGTTTGGATGACCATATTTTTCGGGTTGAGGCTGTTGAGGCATTTGCTGGTTCAACATGTTCGGGTCATCGGGGTTCAGGACTTAGCTTGGGGAGGGGAGAGGGAGCCCTTCCATCGCATCGTGCCGAAGCCAAGGCGAAAAGAGCCCACTGGTGCCGCTTGGAGAATGTCAGGCCCCTAAACCCTAAACCCTAAACCCTAAACCCTAAACCCTAAACCCTAAACCCTAAACCCTAAACCCTAAACCCTAAACCCTACACCCTCAACCCTAAACCCTAAACCCTAAACCCTAAACCCTAAACCCTAGGCTTTGCATTTCGCGGCCCCTACACCTTGAACCCTGAACTCTGCTGAGACCCGAGCTTCTACAGTGTCTGACGAGGCTTTATAGGGATTAACCCCATTGTGCAACCACCCTAAACCCTAAACCCTAAACCCTAAACCCTAAACCCTAAACCCTAAACCCTAAACCCTAAACCCTAAACCCTAAACCCTAAACCCTAAACCCAGCAGCCAGCACAGACAAAGATCATCAAGTTCCAGCGGTTTGGGCTTTGATTTAGGGCTATTGACACAAGGTGGACTAGAAGGTTAGCAACTGCGAAGTGAACGACCCGAACCCCCCAAACCCTAAACCCTAAACCCTAAACCCTAAACCTCAAACCCTAAACCCTAAACCCTTTTTAGCCTGCAAGGGGAACGCCATGCGAATGCCACTATGCCGGAACCACTCCGAGCCTGACTCCCGATGCCATCGAGAAGGACCTGCGGCTGCGATTTCCTGCTGGCTTTGAAAGCTGCGGGGGCTACGGGAGTTTAGGGCTTAGGGTTTAGGGTTTAGGGTTTAGGGTTTAGGGTGTTTTTGGGACACCCCCGCCCACCCCCCACCCCCGGCCTTCCGAGGGTCAGGTTCGGGACTTTGGGTTTAGGGGTTTAGGGTTCTGGGCTATAGGGTTTTAGGACTTTAGTTCGTGTTAATGGTTTGTTAAGGTGCTTGTAAGCCTTCAAACCCTAAACCCTAAACCCTAAACCCTAAACCCTAAACCCTAAACCCTAAACCCTAAACCCTAAACCCTAAACCCTAAACCCTAAACCCTGTCCAGCAACCGCTGGGCCAACAGGAGGAGGGCGAATGGGCGGAGTTCGACTCTTCCTACAAGCGAGGCGGCGGAGTTGAGGGTTTAGGGTTTAGGGTTTAGGGTTTAGGCTTTGGGGTTTAGGGGAGGTTTTGAACAGTTTTGAATGGGTTTGAACAGGATTGTCGATGGGGTTCTGTGGCGGGGCTGAGAAGGGCCTACAGGTTTTGCAGGTTACACGGCTTCTAGAGTCTACAATGGGGTTTGAGAGGGGCCACGGGCCTTTCGAGTTTAGGGGTTTAGGGGTTTAGGGTTTTAGGGGTTAGGGTGCCTATGGTCACGCAAGCTCAAGGGAAGTGCGCGTATCTAGAGTGTGTTCAAGACTTGATCCATGCCATGAGGCCCCAAAGTCTTAAGCCCTACACCCTGACTGTTGGGATCCCTGAAATCAGAGCTTTAAACCCTCAATTGGATCGATATTTGACCGCCAAACCCGAAACCCGAAACCCTAAACCCTAAACCCTAAACCCTAAACCTTGACACCCAAGCCTGTGTCTCTTGAGGCAGCCCCACGACCTTCGCACCAAACCAGGTGCCAGAGAGAGCTTTTCGGGATGAGCGGGGTGAGTAGAGGTATGGTATTTAGGGTTTAGAGTTTAGGGTTTGGGGTTTAGGGTTGGTTTGGGGTCTAGGGTTCAGGGTTCAGGGTTCAGGGTTTAGGGTTTAATGTTGGACCTGCTTTAATAATGTAACCCCCCCCCCCCCCCCCCCCCCCCCCCCAACAGACAAGGACCCTGAATAAAACAAGACCCCAAACAGTCAGGCAGGGAAGGGGTCAGGAGGTTGAGCGTTGTATTTCAAACTAAGAACTTGGACCTGAAAACCATGAAGCAAACAGTCCCGGCCCGAAAACTGTTCATTATAGCGGACCACCAAAACATAGGGTCAAGATGCCGAATAGCCGGAAAACTTTTCATAATAGCGTCCCACTAGAATATTGCGGGTGCAACATTAGGGTTTAGGGTTTAGGGTTTAGGGTTTAGGGTATGACTACAGGGTTGGAGTATGGAGGTGAAAGTGTCAAGTCATGCAGGAGTCATGATAGGGATCTACCCCACCATCCCCCTTAAGCACTTCCAACGTCTGCACCTCTGAACCCCCCCCAAAAAAAAGAAAAAAACTGACACATAACAAACAAATGGACGGAAAAAAACATAATCCTACGATTCAAGATGGTTCAGGGTTAGTTAGTAGAGAAATGGTATTTAGGGTTTGGGGTTTAGGGTTTAGGGTTTAGGGTGTAAGGTTTAGGGTTTAGGGTTTAGGGTTTAGGGTTTAGGGTTTAGGGCCCCCAAGCTTCGCCCAGATCAGGTCATCAAGGGATGGACCGAGGCCATGCAGCTCATGGTGGAAGGCCTCCCCCATGAGTGTAGGGTTAGAGGTGGGTTGGGGTTTAGGGTTTAGGGTTTAGGGTTTAGGGTTTAGGGTTTAGGGTTTAGGGTTTAGGGTTTAGGGTTTAGGGTTTAGGGTTTAGGGTTTAGGGTTTAGGGTTTAGGGTTTAGGGTTTTGGTTTTAGGGTTTAGGGTTTAGGGTTCAGGGTTCAGGGTTTAGGGTTTAGGGTTAGGGGACGCGTGAGGCATTGGGGGTTTAGGGTTTGGGGTATATGAAGAAGAGAGACATAGCTTCTCTGTTAGTCCTTCCCAGAACCCTAGGCAGTCTAAGCCGCTTTGGGAAGATGATTTTCTGGCACCTTTGGCAACTCTCTCGAGCAGCTGTTCTGAAACCCTGGACCCTAAGCTCCAAAACCTAGAATACCTTAAGCCCTGTCTCTCAGTGTAAAGGTATATACATACATAAATAAATAAATAAATATATATATATATATGTCGCAGTATACTATACGATATCAAGCTCTCTTAATTAAAGGGGCTCATAAGTTTAGGCCTTGCGAATCGCCCTTCGGGGTGGGGCAATTCGGTGGCGCCTGCAGTGTAGGGCTGAGGCTTTACAGGGTCCCTAGGGTTTCGGGCTTTCAGGGCAGCATGATTCCACACCCTAAACCCTAAACCCTGAACCCTGAACCCTGAACCCTAAACCCTAAACCCTAACCTAAACCCTAAACCCTAAACCCAAAGCCAGGAGACAAGTGGCAGATGTACATCCCCTCCGAGCTGGGCTACGGCGACGGCGGTTCGGGAGCCTGGCGCCCCAGTACGCTGCGCTCCAGGGGGTACAGGCTTCCAGTGTTGGGGCAAGAAGCCTTGAGGTTTAGGGTTTAGGGTTCAGGGTTTAGGGTTTAGGGTGGCGATGTCGGGTTTTGTAGATTTAAAGCTTGGGGTCTAGGGTTTCGGGCTGCGAGCTTGAGGCGAAGATCAAGGGAGGTGACGTGCTGATCTTCAACATGGAGAGCCTGGGCTTTGGAGTACTATACTTTAATACCTTTTTTGGTTTTGGGTTCCCATTATAGCTACTTATACCTAAAAAGTATATACTTTTTTTCTGGGTCTTCTCCAGAGGTAGGGAGCCTCGGCAAGGGTGGGAATTTCATGAGCTAAGGTCACCGGCGCGACTGGCACTTAGTCATCGCTGTGATTTCAAGGTTTAGAGATTTGCTTTTTCTGAGCCCTATAGACACTAAGGCCAAAGCACTTAAACACTAAACCCGAAACCCCTAAGCCCAAAACTCCTACGGTTACGCCCTGAGCCTGATTCACCCATGTGGGCTGTCGTACAAAACTCCCGGGAAGGCCCCTAAGCAACCAAGGCTCAAGCAGAAGTTAGAGCTTAGACATATCGGCCCCCTTGATGTGGGCCCTTGGGTTCAGGGTATAGGGTTTGGGGTTTCTGGAACGGGTCCATATTCAGTCTGCGACCTTCTCCTGAATCTGTTGTGGTTCTTCGGCGTGTAGGGCTTTTGTTGATTCAGGCCTTCTTCTGGCCTAAATCCTAAAATGTTCAGCCCTAAACCCTAAACCCTAAACGCTAAACCCTAAACCCTAAACCCTAAACCCTAAACCCTAAACCCTGGGGTTTTAGGCTCTTTAAGGGTTTAGTGCGGCCGAGGATCATGAAGATCAAGGGCGACAGCAAGCCTGCCGATCGATGTGACATCGAGACTTTGAAAGGCGTGGGTTTAGGGTTTAGGGTGTAGGGTTTAGGGTTTAGGGTTTCGGTTTTACAGGGTTACAAGGGAATTTGGGTACTTGGGCAACCTCATAGCGCGGCGTGTACATTTTTAGATTTTCCTGCTTGTTGGTGCCTGTGTTGCGGTTATCTAGGTACCTCTCTCACCTTAAACCCTACCCTAAACCCTAAACCCTAATCCCTAATCCCTAAACCCTAAACCCTAAACCCTAAAGCCCTCCTGCTTTAGGGGCTTAAGGGGAGCGATCCCGTAGCCTTTTGAGACCCCCCCCCCTGGGGTGTAGGGGTTGAGGGGTTTGGTGGTTTAGGGGCCGAGGGGTTTAGGGGTTTCGGGGTTTAGGGGTTTCGGGGTTTAGGGGTTTCGGGGTTTAGGGTTTAGGGGTTTAAGGGTTTAGAGGTTTAGGGGTTTAGGGGTTTGGGGGGTTAGGGGTTTAGGGGTTTCCCTGATGGTCCCAAAAGATGTATATCATAACAACCCCCCAAAACGCTAGTCTAGTTATGAAGGCCCCGGTATGAGGCCTCAGAGGAGTTTTGGGGTTCGGGCTTTTGGGCATTGGGTCTGTTTTGGGTTTGCGGTTTCAGGGTTGGTTTAGGTCTTAGGGGTTTTACGGGTAGACCTTTTGGCCTTTAAGGTGTTTTTTGTTAATCTGGTTTGGGGTTTTAGTGTCTTGTGTATGAGTTCATTTTTTTAAGGTCCGGTTCAGGGCTTTGCGAGGGTTTATGGGTTGTGCGGTTAAGGGGTCCAGCTCCCCCCCCCCCCCCCCGACCCTTCCCTACAGGCTGCAGCGACAAGGCCAAGACGTACATCGAGAAGCAGAACAAGCTCACCGCGGACAAGCGGAAGGCCTAGGGCTACCCGAAACCCCAAAGCCCAACACCCCTAAAATCAAAACCTTAAACCCCTAAACCCTTCACTTGTTTGGCTTAGATTTTGATTCCATATGACCACGATGCTGGGACCCAGATTGGGCAACCTCATTACACCCTACTAAACCTTCAACCCTAAACCCAGGCCGAGCTCAAGCGACTGGAGGCGCAATGCACAACTTCTTTCCTTCCCTTGGGGGGGGTGGGGGGCATTTAGCTTTGGGGATGAGCGTTGGGGGGCATGCAGTGGAAGGTTCAGGGGTTGAGTATTCAGGGGGGACATACTATCTGGTTTTACTTAGCGTTTGCAGCCAGCTTTCGACTTTGTGCCCTCAAAAAGGTTTCAGGGTTTAGGGTTTAGGGTCTCCCTAAACCCCAAAACCTAAACCCTGGCCCTAAACCCTAGCCCTAAACCCTAAACCCCAGAAGCCTGGAACTCCCGAAGAGGGGCTTCCTGTCTCCCAGGGCATGAAGGGCAACCCTAAACCCTAACCCTAAACCCCAAACCCCAAAAGCCTGAAACTCCCAAAACAGGGCATGAAGGGCAACGACATGAAGGAGGACAACAAGAACTGGCTGATGTCGCTCCCCTGCACCAAGCTGGGCTCTGGCCAAGGAAGTTAGGGTTTAGGGTTTAGGGTTTAGGGTTTAAGGTTTAGGGTTTAGGGTTTAGGGTTTAGGGTTTAGGTTTTTGGGGTGTAGGGTTCAGGGTGTAGGTGTTGTATGGTAACTAGTGATGGGTTGTTAGAATCTGAGACAAGGGGGTGTTCACCCTGGTCAACCCTCAACTTTCAGAGGCCGCCCCCCGTCTGACCCTGACCCTACAAGGAGGGACCCCTTTACTATACTAACTATAGTTAAGGGACTTATAACCTAACTTAGGATCCTTATAACCCAATTTAGGGCTCCTATAACTCTACTTATAACTAGGGGGCCCCACCCTGTAAACTCCAACCCGGATGACCCCTAAAGCCTCAACCCTAAGCTCCTTCCCCAAACTCCCTAAGCCCTAAACCCCACACCTTTGGAGGGCGGCTTTAACATGCATGAGCCAAGGTCCCGGATAGGCCTGCTCAAGAAGCTTACGACCAAGGACACCAGCCCCGGGCTTTAGGGCTTTAAAGGGGGCGTTGAGGGTTTAGGCGGGTTTTGGTTGAAGGATCGTTGGGGGTTTTTCGGAGGTATTGTTCAAGTTGCTTTCGGGGTTTGAGGGGTTTTGATTTTACGTAGGGCTTCCGGGTTTTTAGGTGTCAGGGCTTTGGGAAGCATAGGTTTCGGGGCAGAACGCCATCTACTTGAGGTCATTTGGCGTGGTTTCGTCCCTAGGGTGCACCCAATACATTTTGCCCCAAGGCCGACCTCGAAATGTTGAGTGTATTTCGGGAATAGGGCTTGTTAAGAATTTAGGGTTCAGGGGTTAGGGGTTTGAATGTATTATTTGTAGAGTTTTGGCTTTAAGTGGTTAACAAGGTTTCACGATGGCAAAGTACCTGACTGGGGAGCTAGGGATCAAAAGAATAGGGTTTAGGATTCTGTTGTTTACGGTTTTGGTGTGTAGGATGCATAGGGATTGGAGGATTCAGAGTTTCACAGCTATTGTCTTTTAAGGGGTGGAGCCCCTCAATCTTATTCCCTTATGAACCCTATGTATACCTAGTCCCTATATACCTAAGTAGCCCCCAAAGACCCCCTAAGTAACCCCTAAGGTCCCTTATAAGGGTCCCTCCTTTAGTCCCTTGAGTCTTGGGTTGTGGGGCGAAGGATGAGCTGTGAAGCAGCTGGGCAACTGAGCAATCGGGAATCGCAGATTTGGCACACAAGCGGCCAGTAGACGTAGCTATCCGACCTACACAGCCCGAGGACTATACTCTAATTTGCGAAACCAAGCCTTGCAGCTGAGCTAGGCTACTTTTTCTACACGAAGCCCTAATTGAAGCCCTAAATTCGTGGTAGTCCCTAAAGCTGTGGGTCTCAGGGTTGAGGGCAAGTCTTGTTGCAGAGCGCGTTGCAAAGACTCATCTCGGCGTGCAGTTGGCTCTCCGCCGGGTGGAAAAAGCGTGAGTCACTGCAGAAACCAAGACGAAAAGGAATAAAACTCAACCCTAAACCCTCAACCCTAAACCCTAAACCCTCCTACCCCAAAGGTCCTGATCGTACGTAAGCGGAGGTGAGATTTGGAGATGGGAAAAAGGACAGCTTCAAAAGCCTCAAAGCTTCATACACCACCCTAAAGTTCTGAACCCTGCACCCAAGTTCCTCGACCCGGCCTCAAGCCTCAAACCCTTAGCCTCAGAAACCCTAAGCCCTAAACCCTAAACCCTAAACCCGAAACCCTAAACCCTAAACCGCCGACCTTGAAACCTAGAAGCCACCCAGACGTCTTGGCCCCAAGGCACGCCGTCCTTCTTGGGCCGCTTGCGCGGAGCATGCGGCGGCAGGCCCACAACAACCGCAGCATACCGTGCAAGCCGCAAGGCATCGTGCGTAGGTTGGTCTAGGGCTTGCACCCTAAATTTCAGAGCCTCCGGCTCAAGCCGCCGACCCCGCTGGAGCATAGTTGAGAGGTCAAACCCGCTCGCATGGTTCGAAGATCATCCCAGCCTGCTCGGCAGAGTTCTGTGAAACGTTTGGGGGGGGGTTAGGGGGCAAGCCAAAAAAAGAGGGGGGTGGGGGTGGGGGGGGGGGGGGGGGGGGGTGGGGGGGGGGGGGGTTGGGGGGGGGGGGGGGGGGGTTGGGGGTGGGGTGCGGGCGCCCCTACCCCCCTGTGCTGCACCGCCTGTTTACGCTGTGCGGGGCGCGGTCGTCCACGAAAAAATTGTGCACCGACCCCTACCCCCCCCCCCCTCCCCGGGTTTTGGGTCACCTCCTTTTCCCATCCAACACGCCGCCAGGGTTGGCGGACCCTAAACCCTAAACCCTAAACCCTAAACTCTAAACCCTAAACCCTAAACCCTAAACCCTAAACCCTAAATCCTAAACCCGAAACCCTAAACCCTAAACCCTAAACCCTATCCAAGCCTGTGGGCCACGCTCACAAGCTCATGGTCCCTGTCTCCGGGAACCCCAACCTGGTTTAGGGTTTAGGGTTTAGGGTTTAGGGTTTAGGGTTTAGGGTTTAGGGTTTAGGGTTTAGGGTTTAGGGTAAAGCGCGCTGTCGTTGGGGATTTCGGCACGGGAGGGGGTCACGATATATAGTCCTAAACCCACAAACCCTAAACCCTAACCTCAAAAACCCCAAAACCCCACAAACCCTAAACCCTAAACCCTAAACCCTAAACCCTAAACCCTAAACCCTAAACCCTAAACCCTAAACCCTAAACCCCAACCCCCAAACCCCAAACCCCAAGCCCGAGTCCTGGGAGGTCTATCCCTCTGAGGACGCGGACGTGAGGGAAACGGAGCTTGACCACACCGAGGTGCCCCTTTGGGTTTAGGGTTTAGGGTTTAGGGTTTAGGGTTTAGGGTTTAGGGTTTAGGGTACAACGCAACGTAACGGCAGTTCAGGGTTTAGGACCCTAGGGTTTTGGTCGGGTTTAAGAGTTCGCTGCATCCCCTAAGCACCTCGAAACAAGAAAAGGCCTCAGACCTTGCATTGCGGGGGTCTGGCTGCTAGTAAAGGCCAGGCTCCGCAAGGGGCCTTGACTCTCTAAGTTTCGCAATGTGTGTTCTCTATTGGCGCAGGGAAGAAGCATCTGCCTGCCACAGGGTGCGCTCACAGAGCCTAAGGCTCCAAAGGCCAAAACCTCAGAAGCCTTGGAATGTTCCCCCTTAGACAAAACAGTCCTTAATTGGGATTTTGCTAAGGGGCACTATAATCCCTATTCTGGACTGTTAGTAGTGTTCGGGGGGACACCTCAAAAAGCCTTCAATGGCCGCCCTCAAGATACCAACCCATCCTCCGAAGGTCCCCCCGCTGGCAGGTGGCTCAGGCAGTTCCTTCCCTGCGGGGTTTAGGGTTTAGGGTTTAGGGTTTAGGAGTTGGGAGTGGTTTTGGGTTAGTGGGCTCGAGGGGTTGAGAGGCTCAGGGTGCAGGCGCTCTTTTTTTGATGCGAGCACTGCACTAGGCAGATGCATATATACATATATACATATATGTATAAATATATATATATATATATATATATATATCTGTGCGTGTGAGAGTGTGTGAGTGTGTGAGTGTGTGAGTGTGTGAGTGTGTGAGTGTGTGAGTGTGTGAGTGTGTGTGTGTGTGTGTTTGCACGCTATTCTGGATTTGTTGCCGCAATGTGGCTTTGCTACTCCATGCTCGGCGTCCAAGCAGAGGCGACAATGCAATGAGCAACAATGCATACCATAGCTGATTGCGTGTCTCTCTCTCTCTCTCTCTTCAACCAAAAAGATAGCAACACTGTAAATAGAAGTTGCCACCCCCTCCCCCCCCTCTCGCCACTAACCTTAAACCCTACACTACACCTTAAACCCTAAACCCTAAACCCTAAACCCTAAACCCTATGTTGGTTAGACCAGTTACACGCCTGATAACTAAGGTCTTAGACGAGTTGCTGGATCGATGGGAGATGGAGGCACGGAGTTGTTTTAGGGTTTAGGGTTTAGGGTTGCCCTTTTCGGGGGCCTCCCTAGGGTTTTAGGGTTTAGGGTTTAGGGTTTAGGGTTTCGGGTCTAGGGTTTAGGGTTTAAGGTTTAGGGTTTAGGGTTTAGGGCTCACAAAGGGTGTTGGGATTTTGAACAGGGCTTGAAGTTCTAAGGTGTGGGGGGCCGGAAAGCGGCCCTCAGTGGTTTTTTCGGGCTTAGGGTCTCAAGTTTTGGGCTGAAACCCTGAAGCACCCAAAACAGCTCAGAACCCTCAACCCAGCATCCGACAGCACTGCACCCTCAACTTCACAATCGAAAAAACGCCCTCAGAGCCCCAAACCAACCGAAGCCCAACCCCCATACCCTATACCCCCTCCCCCCCCCCCCCCAAATACCCCTAAAGTCCTCAAGCCCTGAACCCCTAAACCTTAAACCTGGGAATGGTTCCCCCTTATACTGACAGTCCTTCATAGGGATTGTAGTACGCCCGATTTTCGTCCCTATTTTGGACTGCTTGTTTAAGGGTGTTCCCAACCTAAACCCCTCAACCCCCAAGCCCTGAACCCCCTAAACCCCCTAAACCCCTCAAACCCTAAACCCCCTAAACCCCCTAAACCCCCTAAACCCCCTAAACCCCCTAAACCCCCTAAACCCCCTAAACCCCCTAAACCCCCTAAACCCTCTAAACCTTAAACCCCAAACCCTAAACCCTAAACCCTAAACCCGAAACCTTAAACCCCAAACCCTAAACCCTAAACCCTAAACCCTAAACCCTAAACCCCAAACCCCAAACCCCAAACCCCAAACCCCAAACCCAGCATCTTCCCCCTCTTGACCAGGTCGAGCCTTTGCTGGGCGAGGCTGCGCAACAGGACGCCCGGCTCGCCAGGCAGCTTGGGGTTGAAAGGCTTTAGGGTTTAGGGTTTAGGGTTTAGGGTTTGGGGTTTAGGGTTTGGGGTTTAGGGTTTGGGGTTTAGGGTTTAGAATTAGGGTTTGGGGTTTAGGGTTTAGTAGGGTTTAGGGTTTGGTGGGGTTTAGGGTTTGGTGGGGTTTAGGGTTTAGGGTTTAGGGCATATGTATTCAGGGTTATGGTTGCTTGAGTTATTCCCGTCTTCGTTTCGGGGTTGGGGGGTGGTTCGGTACCAGCATCCCCTGCGCCGTAGACCCCAAAACCCAAAAGTTTTGGCGACAACCCCTAAACTCCAAACCCTGAACCCTAAAACCCTCATAACGCTTGGGCCCTAGGAGGTTGAACCGAGCTAGGTTAGACAGCAGTTCTTAGGTTGATGGGGAACCCAGTCGAAGCCCCGGTTGATCTCGTTCATGTTCAACTACGATAAAGAATGCCAGTACCAATGGGTGATACACACTCACTCACACGTGTAAATACATACATACATACATGCATGCATGCATACATACATACATACAAATATATATATATATATATATATATATACATATGCACATGCACACATCATTGGGCGGCACAAGCAAGACAAATGAAATGCCAATATTATGTCGAGAACCGCAGAAACTTTTTCATAAGAACACATGAAGTAAAACAATGATCAGGCTCGTCTTTGGATTAGCGGAAAAATCTAGAATTCCAAAGCGTTCCACGGAAAACTGAAGGAAACCTGAGAAAGCTAGGCAAAGCTGGGAGAAGCTAAGTTAAGCTAAGATAAGCTACGAATTTCCTGGGGTGAAGTATGCCTTTGAAGGGCCTGTACAGAAGATGTCAACAGGAAACTACAGCTTGCCTTTTCCATCAAAGTTAATCTGAAGTTGCAGCTGTCAGCGCCTGAGGTTTGGGTGTTACTTATAGGTATCGGCCTTAAAATCTACGCATTCATACAATACTGATTTCTGGCAATCAGAAGTGGACTTTGGTTTTTTTTTCTAGCCATCGAGGTGCTACGACATTCCTGTCTTCAGACCCCGGCTCGCTAAATCTTTCCTGGAATCGGGCCCCGATCTGCTACGAAAGGCTAGAGAAGGCTAGGCAAGGCTAGCAAAAGCTAGCAAAAGCTGGAAAAAGCTAGAAAAAACTAGAAAAAGCCAGAAAAAGCTAAGTTTTTCCCGGTTTTCGGGCAAGCCCCCGGGGCCCCCAGCTAATCGTAAACAACTCTCGCCAATGTTTCCAAGAGCTTTGGCGACAATAGATTTCCAAATCCCTCATCCCTACAGTCTACGCCCGACAACCCTACAGCTTTCCA